GTAGCGACACAAGGTGAAATAGGAGTGAAGGTGCATGCGTTCGCAATGTAACGATTTATGCATGTTTTCATCCATCTGTCTAAGCTGTCGTATCAGCCACATACAAATCAAATCGTTCTTCATTCATTTCTTACTGCTGCTACATATTTGCTGATAAATCAGTTAAACTTATTACTCGTTCATAATTTGATTCAAATTGTTGTTTTTGTTGTCATTATTGTAGGTTAATAAGAGATGATACTATTAGAAGTGAAATCTGTTGCTATCAGCGTTAGTACTACTCTTGTGCACAGTGGTATTATTATTGCTTGAATCATGATAGCAGTAGTGATAGTGCTATAGTAATTTTTTCATGACCTTTATGATCATTATTGTTAATTGGTATAGATGAGGAAGGAATTGATTTGTCATTTGAAATGAAACTCATTTTAATAATGTTGTTTGCTTGAATGATGTTGTCGTTTTGGATAGGTAAGCGAAAAGGCAAAATATACGTTGTCGTAGACGTGAAAAAACGTCATGAATGTGATAATGTAAACCGAATGCGTGTTTGCTATTATTAACATTAACTAGAGAATGGAATGAATGGATTTCATTCGAGTTGATCGATGACAGGGGATAATGTGTATCGATGAAAAATTGATTGATTGTTATTCAGAGTACAAAAAGCATCGGTTTCATGCACGGTTGATGAAAAACGGAATGAATAAATGTGAATGAAGCTTTTGACGTGACGAGCTTTGATTGCACTTTACTACATGTGCTGCTACATCACATGTCGTCTAATCGAAAGTTGGTACATATATTACAGTTGTTGTGCGTAGTGTGTAATTGTAATCAGAGTAAGACGAACGTTTCTGTAGCTGTAGAAGCGTTAGAATGGATAGTATCCATAGATGGCGTTTAATTGACTGAAAATATTTGTTGTGTATGTACATGAGATATTCTTTTAATCAACAAGAGAAATGGATAGGTAGGTAATCAACTACAAATGTTACTCGTTGAATTGTTCGTTTTCTGATGGCAATTAGGTAGATGTTTTTTTGTTTCTTAATTCAATCTTGAAGCTTACTGGCTCTCATGATCCTCATCGGTATTGTATTCATTCAATTATTCATCACAGTTGCTCAATCCGAGCGTGTACTCTTCAGTTACCATTAAATATCATCATGACCACCATATAGTTTTTTTTCGTACAGCTTGCGACACCAGTGAAATTCATTTATTTAGTTAATCATTCAATCATCCATCTGTCTTTTATGACTTTATCATGACCAATCAGCATTCGTTTAATGATAAGTTGAGAAAAGCCATATATGAGCATATGTCGTTTAATAGTATTAGTAGTAAGTGAATGCATCAGCAGTCAGTTGCTTCGTTGTGTATTTTTCCTCTTCCATTAATTTTTCGTTTGTCGACAGTAGCAGAGTAGAAGAGAGGTCAATGGCAGCATAGTACACTCTTGAAGCAACAACAATAGCACACCTTTTTTGCATTCATTCTTTTCTGGAAGTATGTGTGTATGGTGTAAATGAACGATCAAAAATCTGAGCAGTTCTAAAATCAATCTTGTCCATCCTTTTTCTTAGCAACATTTGCTTGTTGATTTGCTCTTAGATGTTTGCTCTTCGCAAGTCGTTTTTTTTTTTGCATCATTTGTAAGAAATTATTTAAGTAATTTTGCAGTTGATTTTTATCAAATGCCCATTCGACTTTTCACTCGTCTCAATTATCCAGGAATATATACATATGTGGGGAATTTTTAACAGTGTCGATCTGTCGAGCTTTACAGCGATAATATGTGTGCTGCTTATTTGGCCTCTTCCTAAATGGATTAGAGATTAGATTAGACAGTTGGATGGTTGCGATTTTTGTTTATGGTAAATTTTTATTGTTCAAGAAAACGAGTGGGTACTAAAACAATCTTCTGCAATCGTTTTTAGCCGCCAAATGAGATGTATGGTGTAATAGTTGTCTCGTCTCTGTATTACTGTCACTAATAATACATATTAATAGTAACAGCATAATGATACTGGTTAAAATTTATTCTTTAAGCCGATCGGAGGGTTTCGACTGAAAATTATAATCGCTGAGGAGATGACAGTAATAATGATTAATGTTATTATGTTTTTATTACTCGTGTTAGGATTTCCCACTTTTCACCTCATTTTTTGTTATCAATAGATACGTTATCATTGCTATTATCATTTGTTTATTTATTCATTTATTCATTCATTCGTTCATAAAAACATCATCTGATGTGTTATTGTTGGTTGTTGGTTCAGTGATGAATTGATGTTGATGATTTCATAAAACGTAAATTTCAATGTTATTGGATGTTTTCGTCATTCTGCATTCTATTCTGTTCTTATTTATTCTTTACTATTTTTAAACTGTTATTTGTTGTGTATTGTAATATTTAAAAAACTTGTTTTTTCAACTCAATTTTACGTTCTAATTTTGATAAAAGTCGATAAATGCTATGTTATTCGGGTGTTATGTTATTATTTTGTCTTTGCGATTGTAGTGTGTGTGCAACGCGATCTTCATACATGTATGTTCTAATATTTATTCGTGTTGAACGATAGCGATCGTCTAGAAACGCTTGGTTATAAATTCTTGATGTGAAGTGTAAATATGTGGTGGATTAGTTTAGGTGAGCGTTATCGGTGCATTATCTTCACATCAACAGTTCTCTGATCAGTATTTTTGTTGGATTCTTGGATTGACTATTCGTTTTCTTTTTTTCGAGAGTGATAGAAAGCGTTGAACACGTTCGCGTGCTTCAACGACGCCCAAAACGTCAAACTGTATCCGGCAGCAATGTTTTCGCCTATTTATTCTGCAGGTATGCTGAGAACTGTGCATTCATTAGTTGTTAGTTTTGATGCAATCAGTTAATCACACACTGAAAGTTTTGAAGTTATCGACGTTGTGATATTGCAAAGCATTGTAATATTTTGTATTGCAAGGATTCTGTTTGGAATTTTTCTGATCCGATGAAGAACTTTCTTTTGGATACTTTTAGGCGGGGTCTATGTGCCGCATCCGATGTTTATGCCTCTTCAAGGAGGCGCCGGCACCTCAAGAGGGTTACCGTTTTTTCCACCGATTGGCCCGCATGCATTCCCGTATGCACCATATTTGCAGCCCGGGCAAGTACCACGCATGATGAACAATTTGTCCGGGAACGCTCAGCAGTTGAGCGGTGAGGGTCCACCTCAGTTGCGAAAGCTGTTTATTGGCGGCTTGAGTCATGAGACTACTGATGAACAGGCTAGTTTTCGTGCATGTTTTCCATATGCAGTTGCTCTCGATGAAATGTTCAAGTTGAAATTAAATATATTATACGTTCGATTCAAGCAAGTGTCATTCTCGTTTTTTTTGGTGATGATGATTTATTGGCTTGTGCATTCAGTTGAGGCAGTTCTATGCACAGTGGGGAACTGTAGTGGATTGTATTGTGATACGAGATCCGCAAACGAAATATTCACGCGGTTTCGGTTTTGTCACGTTCGCCACAATGCAAATGGCTGAAGCAGCGATGTCCGATCGACCACACACAATCAACAATAAAGTAAATCAGCTGATTAATATGGATCGGACTTGATATTCCGACGTATTGCCCCGCTCTCATTTTGAGTTGCTCTCCTGCTGATCAAATAAATAAATGAAGTGTTTGTTTCTATATAATGTGGAAAAATAATTGACATAAAATTAACATAAAATTTATCGTATCGTTTCGCCAAAATTGCAAATATTTTCTCTTGTTATCCTTTGTGTTTACTACTATTGCCGCTGCTACCTCCCTTCCATATTTATCAACATTCTTTTGAAGATTTTTGAAATTTCAATTTGTACGATATTTCCATGCGTGCATTTATCTCGCATTACTGATAGATTGTAATCAACTTACTGTAAATGTGCACACACATAGCAGCACATTTACATACTATACGTACAGTTTTCATTTTCTCATTTTGCAGGTGGTTGATCCAAAACGTGCGATTCCTCGTGAACAGATGTCACCCTTGTTACCCAATCATCCACCACCATTTCTTGAAGGTGAACCGGACCCTGGCTGTAAACTATCTTTATCAGGTGAGTTTTTTTTTTCGAAATCTTATTATTCGTTTTTTTTCCTCCTTACCGTTTCCTCCCAATATTTTCCGTTTGTCATTAGTACAGCATTCAAGGATGATTGTTCGTTTTAGTTTTGCTGTTTGTTTTTGAATTTGTTAGTACTATGCTACGCTTTCTTAGTGAATTAATTGAGAGAATTGACGAAATTGTTTCGTGCTTCACATTTTTTATTGGAGATGCTGCTTTCTCGTGCCAGTTATATTCATTTTCCTCAGTTATCGTCTGCAAAACACATCGGCTTGAAGTGAAATAAATAGATGCGTAGAAAGACAAATAAATGGATGGATGCATTAGTGTGCATTTTAGGAATTCATTGGGATTTTCATACAGTTGATGAATTACGACATTATTTTGATACTTTTGGAGTGGTTGAACAAGTTGAGATATTGGGTAATCCTCGTGGATTTGGTTTTGTTGTCTTCGAAGAGAAGACCGCAGCAGATCGATGTGTAGCGCATGGGAAGACCCATATAATCAATGGAAGGAAATGCGAAGTTACGGTATGTTTTAGTCAGTACAAAACGAGCTGAAATTAAAGTTTAAAGAGCCACACATAATATACGAGTATTCATCAGTGCAAACAGACGCATTTGATTGTCTGTTTGCTTGGTTTTTCATTCAAGCCAATAATCACTTTGATAAACAAGCATCACATATGCTTATCATAAAGTAATGGACGAAAACCTTTACAACGAAACTGATTAACAACCGAAACGACCATGTTCACTGCAAAAAAACTATTTTCAAGCCAATGTCTGTGATCATTTTTTGATAATCTCTTAAGATGAAATATAATTTCATTGGTGCAATATTAATTTTGAATCATTGCGAAAACAAAAGAAAAACTTACGAAGTTACATATGATATGTACCCAGAAACATGTATAGAACATTAGTTGTTTGTGATATGATGAAATAAATCATTGATTGAAGAAGAAACAAATGATATTCCAGCAAAACAGTGTAACAGCAACTCAACAGCAGCAAATGGCATCCGGTGGTGGTGGTGGTTTAGGAATAGGAACCTATCAACGAAGTGTTAGTAATGCAAAGGGCAGTGACAGTTTGAGTAATCAAGATCAACTGTTAGCAACAAGTAATATTGTTGGTGGTGATCAAGACGATAATGAGGACGATAACGTTGAGAATGAAACCAACAACAAATCAGATGCTGCTCTCAAGAAGACATCACCGTCAGCAACAGCAGTGTCCTCTTCATTTTTGACTATTGACGGTCACTCGTCATCACTATCCTCGTTGTCGTTATCATCTCAAGCCGAACTTGCACCTCAACAATCTCAAAACACTGTTGCTGACGCTGTTGCTGGTGATGGGAGCGGTCAAGAAGATGCCACAAAGAGCACCTTATCATCATCTCAGACAAAGAGGACACCTTCGTTTGCTCAAATGGTCAATAATTGTGGTGCTGGTGCTGGTGGTATGGGTGCAGGTAAGAGTAAAGGCTCGAATTCGACTTCAAAGAAGTCAAATCAAACAGTTTCTCCGCCCAGATCATCATCAAATACTGCAAATGTGCCTTCATCCTCTTCCAATCCAGCACCTTCGTCGTCGCATTCAGCAGCACGAACAACATCATACAGTTCCACTGTACCATCACAACGACGACATTCCAAGTCGTCATCAATGGGACGACGTACTGCAGTGAGCACTGCTGGTAATAGTATGGTTCGTAATGGTAATGATATTAGCAATAATAATATGAACATGAATTTTAATGATTCTAAGCAGCAATCGAACAAAAAAGATAATATCTTATCAACATCATCAGTAACCGCAACAACGTCAAGGCAGGACAAGAAGAAAGCTCCAAGAAAGGCAAATTCAAATAATAGCAAAAGTCAACAAATATGAAACTTTCATGTGTTTTTGTGGAAAAGTAATACCAAAATATCAGATCATTTGGTATAGTATTTTAACCGTTGAGCAATGAAAATGATATTATAATTTTGTTACAAACTCTTAAAATTTCTGATGCACATACTTCCTATTGTTTTGTTTTGAGCTGTTATAAAAATTCTCTTGTTATCATTATTGTTTTTGTGATCATGGTTGTCATTGCTGTTATTTATAAAACCTATTAAATATTCCTCTTGTATCATATGTATCTATTGACGATTGTGTTTCCGTGTTACCTTCTCAAGAAACAGTCTCCAACAACAATCAACGAAAAGAGATTATATTCTGTTGTCAATTCCTTTTTTTTCACTCACTTCTGAGAATCACAATTCTGTAATAGTAATGCTGCTCGCAAGCTCGTTCTCTTCCCTCTTTCTGCGTTTTGTCATTACCTTTTCATTCTAACCCACCACTCTTTTGTTTGCCCATTCTGAATTCTTTCATTTATTGTTCTGTCACGCATAAAGGTCATTCTGCAGTGGACGTTTCTAAAGTTCATTCTCATCTGAAAATAGTCATTCGATCAGTCGCCGTCTAGAATGCGCCTGATTGAATGATTGATTGATTGCTTGATTGATGAATTGTGGTCAATCATTGTTATCGTTTGTTTTATTTCTGATCGCTCGTCGGCAGATCTCATTATCGTTTTTTTTCAATTTTTCATTGAATGTAATTTTACACCTTCAGTTTCTTTCATCTGATTATATAGTATTTTTCATTCAACTATTAAGCAGCAGCAGCAGCTCATTTTTGCATTATTATCATCTTTATGTTTGTGTTCTTCTCTTCTCAACCATCATTATCGTCATCATCATTCAAACAACAGCCTTTCAGTGCCGACTCTTTTTTGTCGTGTTCATTCGTGCGGATCGTGTTTTTCGATTTCTTACATCATTTTACAGTTTCCTTAATTCTTTTCTATTATCGTTTTGCACATTTACAAATATTTTTTCTCGTTCCGTTACGTTTGCTCCGCTGTTACGGCGGTTCAGTTCAATAATGCTCATCCATCTAATCTTGTGCAAAATCGAGTGATCATTATCATTGTATGTTGAAGAAAACAAGTGTGTATGTTGGTCCACTATTGTTTTCGTTAACAACCATTACCCATTGCTATGTCTACTTCTGTTGACAATTTATTAACTGTACATTCGTATTATGTGTGTGTCATCTTTATCATGACTAAACAACAATTTAAGAATTCATATTCTTGATGCTTGTCAGTCAGTCCAATTCATGCGTAAGATGTGAGATTTTATTTTACGTCACCTACATATTTTATAGATTTATTAATGGTTATTTTCGTCAGACCGTGCCGAGTTCATTTCTTATTCATTCATTCATTTTTAACCTTGGCCATTCAATTGTAACTTATTGGTTAATAATGATGAGAGTACTTTAAACGATTGTTCCAGTTCCATGATATTGTTCCATTATTTTCATAACTTTTTTTACATTTCTATTCATCATCGTTTGGGTCGTCGTTATGTGCTGTAAGTGTAGACATTGTTGTTTAGTTTGACGAGATTTTTATTTATTCGTTTATTCGTTCATTATTCTCATATATTCCTGGGTGATTGTTGATTTGCTTAAGTATTCGTGTTTGTTTTTTCTTTGAATTTGTTGCCAATCTACCAATCGTAATGTTAAAGAACAAATCTGATATATATGAAGTGAAAGTCGTTTGTTTTACGTGCGTTAGAGAAACGTTTGAAGTATGGCAATAGCTATTCAAGTGCTGTTGTTCGCAGACAAGTGGCTAATGATTAATGAAGAAATTTGCGTCAAATTTAGTGCAAATTCGCTGCAATCAAATTTCGCTAGTTAAGCGAATCCAATAAAATTCTTCCCAAATCGCACAGCATAGTCAGAAAAAGTTATGATTTTCTTATATTCTATGGTTTTCGTATCATCATCTATCAGGCGGTCATTTTCACTTCTATTATTCGAAAATAATGAATGTATGTAAGTAAATAAATAAGTGTTGATAGTGGTTAGCTAGGTCGGGTCGTCTCAGTAATCCATAACTTATGCATGTAATATATTTTCGTAAACAGTAGATTATTATGAACAAATGCTCCAACATCATTAAATTGCCTAAGCTGGTAATCGTTAACGGGATTTTATTAGATGTGCTCTGCTGTTCTCTTTCCTTATTGGTATTTTGGAAGTGTATGTATGTATGTTTTTATATTTCAGCAAAATTCTTGATTAATTTCATTATTTGTTGTCACCATCATTATTGTTTTGGTCAACCCATGAATGCTGGTTGTTTTCATAGGGAGATGCTCATCGAATATAGATTTCAAGCTATGCACCTGTACAGGATGACTTTCACTCTGACCAGTTTAATGCCTATACTTATAAGTAATTTATTCAAAAGATTATGTTCCACTGCACAAACGAAAAAAATTGAGTTGGAGTGAAAGTGGTATTTGTGTACTTTGAAAATGCGCCACATGTATAACCTGTCCCAATATGAGAATAACCGGCAATAATGGCTTAAATATGGTGTGTTTATTATCATCGATAACTAATATTGTGAAAGCGACGAATACATAAGGTATAGACCTAAGATTTGCCTGTTATTTTAACGTTTATTCAACGAAGATATAAGATGAAGAATGTTCGGTCAGCAGCAAAGCAGTCATATGTACGCATGTGCTTATACCAACTTGGTGATATATTGTGTCCGTTTTTATCAAAAATATTCCAATAAGCAACAATGGTGATGTGTTGATTCTCGCATTCATGTGTTTTTATTGTTCTCTATACTATTATTATTATTATTATTATTATTATTATTATTATTAAATGTTCTAATTTTGATACGTATTCTGTTAAAGTTCTATATTTATATAGTACTTGTTATCATTAATACTGATGTGATTATGATAATATCATTATCATGTGTTCCGTTGATAATAAACGTTGTATTCTTGTATGTTCAATTGTTTTGTTTCAGTGGATTTCCTCTCTGTTCATCTTAATGTTTCGACTTCAGTTCCCCATGAAATGATAATTCAAATTCTGCTGAAAGGGAACATTTCCGAAACAATTCTTTGATGTGAAAAGAGTTCCTGATTTAAAGTAGGAGTTCTGTTATGATTATCGTGTCGGCTGTTTCTGTCACATATGCCGTATGTAATTTTTTTACAAGTATATGTTTATTAGTCATTATGAGTGATTATTATCTATCGTAAAATTATTGATATAATTCGAATACAATGCCGAATCACAGACAGTATAGTATGAGTGCGTTGATTGATAAGTTGAATAAACGATGCTATTGAGCCAGTGTATCAGTTAAACAACAATTGGTTATAGTATCTTGAGCAATGCATCAGTCCTGTCCGACACATTTCTGTTGTTCTGTAACGTCAAAAGTATTATTATTATCATTATTATTATTATTAAGAACACAACAGCGAAAGGGAAAGACGATCCGAAAGAGATGTTACCGTTAGTAAACGAATTCCTACAGTTCGCATTAGGCGACAATTGCTTCTGTTTGTTGGTGATTGTTTTAGTTAAAATATAAATCAAATTGATTTTAATTAGTTGAGCCTAACCAGATTGGACTGATAATGACGATTTACGCTAACAGATAAATGTCTTGGTTGATATCGTTTTCTGATAAACTAATTGTAATTTCTTATAAGTCTGTCAACTTTAACCGATTTCGATTGATATTGCACATTAGCATAACAAGTACTATATTATAAAACAACTATTCGTGCGCAATAAAGATAGCTGGCGTCCTCTGAAGCAACAATCCAGAACTGAACGAAAAGAATGGAGCAGCGTCTAACCTAACCACTGACATGCGGTCAGCTCGTTCAAAATTCGACCGTATAAGTTCATAGTATTGACCATCAGAGAGTACCATTGAATGCAGTTTAAGACACTTCATACGGAGAATGTCGATGAATTTACTGCAAATAAAAAGATATGCGATCTATTTATTAAAGGACGGGTTTCCCACTTGGATAGCGTAATTCAAAACGCATAATTGCTGACTGCTTGCAAATAGGTTGATCTCTACTGTCAAACAGTGCAAAGACAGACGATTGCTCGCCATTTCTTGTTGCTGAAATAAAGAGTTGAAAGTCATCATCAGCATCAGCTGGCTTGACTTACCTGGATTTATCGCTGAATCGTAGCGTCTCATCATCCCAGCGTATTTCGAGTCTAGTCAAACGAGGACAATTTTGTGCGATGCAATCGACAAACTGGTCAATATGAATTTTTGCAATCACTTTTGGACAACAATCTTCAGCAATGCCCATAACCAACACGCTGAAAATAAATGACAAAACTGAGTCTCGTCCATCAGTTCATCCATCATCAGTCTATCCATTGTTTATCTATTCAAATATCATCTTACCAAAGAACACTGCTCGAAAAGAAACCATTCACTAACCGGATATTGTGCAATTTCGGTATCATATTCATCCAGAAATATTCCAGTAGTTTATGATGACCACCTAAATTCAAGCCCAGTATTTGATGACCAAATCTGGTGACAAGATCCGTTAAAGATGCTTCATTTAATGAGTCACAAGTATCCAAATTCAAATACTTAATATTTGCGATTGCCTCAGAGGCCATCCATGCCTCAACCACCTCAAATTTTGATTCGTTCATTCAGTAAAACTTTTATGGTATGTAATTTGGTTGATGTGAAAGTTATGATGCATTCAAACGGTTTGAACATTGTCACAAGTGCGTGATAATTGACAGGAATGGGTCAATCATATTATAAATATTCGAAAAAAGTATTTAGAACTGATCGCTCTTTCTATCGAGCATTTGAAAGACGTAGGCATTCGCTTTACCTGATCGTTCATCTCTTCGAGCCATGACGCATCCAGCCAAGTGAGATTCTTCAACCTCGTAAGAATGTACTTTAACGACTCACTGGATAGTTCCGTTCCACAAATATTCAATTCTTCAATTCGTGTTTTTTCCCACTCAATCATTTGCACCACTTTATTATCCAGTTCTTAAAAGTCATACGTCGATGCATTGTCAGTTGGTTACTTTCGTTTAATAGCCATCAACCATCTGCTGCGGTCTCATTTCAAACTTGATATTATCCTTATTATGGCAAAGACAAAATCTCGGCACTTTGCTTTTGAAGTGAAAGGGAAATGAATCAAAACAAGAGAAACGGTAGTCTGACTGGTATGAGCGAGAAGAAGACTTCGAAGCTTTTTGCATCGCTGTAAGACAAGTCGTAAACATGAACCGGTCACTTTTGTGCAGTAGTTGACACAAAGGCACTCCAGGTGCGCACAGTTCGATGAAATCGCATCAACGTGATCATCTGTGATAAAAGGTACCTGAAATATCAGCGAATACTGCACCAACGATCATGTCAACAGCATCAGACCGTAATGAATTTCTGGAAAAAAAAACATGAGAAAATTAAATTCGATTATAACTAACACCCCACAGATTGACCACTCGTATATTCGGCATAAACTGCTTCAGCTTATGCACATTCACTGTCTCGTAAACTTCTTCCTCTTCATCTTCAACTTTTTCATACGTTCCTGAGAGAATATTCATCTTATCTTCGAATATACAATCTCAACGAATCACTGCTGAATGTAAACCAAAGATCACCTACCAATTATATGAAGCACTTCCACAGAAGATATGAACGTGTAGACTTTACGAAGGAAACCTTCCAAGAAAATATTCTCGCTGAGGCAGATCGTCAACGAGCGAAGGCGACTGGGAAAGTTTTGCAAATCGGTGAAATCGTGAAGTTGCATTGCCGTCGAAAAGTCTTTACAAGAATACAAAATTACATCTGACTGCGTCATAATATTTTTTGAAGAATTTTTCCATTTCGACCATATACCGTGAATGACCGAATGAAATGTTGAAAATTCATTTGGAAATTTTGAATTTTACTGAATAAATGATCATTAGGGAACAATCAATAATGGAGATCAAACGATGATCATACCTAATGTAAGTGCCTGTAAACGAGGACATTTGGCGGCCATTTCATGCAATACGTTTGGCGTAATCAAATCGGTAGCTAATTCAGCACAACGCAATTCGGTGAAACGAGTTCCAATCAAATGAACGAAATAGTCTTGATTCGTCACCTATCAAAATGATTGTCAGCATTATCGTTTGAATTCGGTGGTGCCATTAGATTCGGAAACGTTTGCGAAGGTTATCATCAAGAAGATCGATAATGAGGAGGATTATCCCAAAAAACCACTTGATAAGTGAATTCTGTGGAACGTATAACAATATCGCTCGTTATTCAACGATAAGGACCATTATTCATTTACCTGAATGCCACCATAGTTGGGCCGAAATGAAACAAACTGCCATAGCGAAGGACTGTGTGCGATGTTTTCCCACCGTTTACAAACTTGTCCCACTCGAAGTACTTGGTATGGAGAAAGGTACGAAAATATTTGTTGGAGCACTTTATCGGGCAATTTTTCGATTGTCTGCAATCAAATAAGTTTCAAACAAAAAATCAAATAACTCAATCCACTTGCACCATTGCATGTATGCATAATATCACTTGCACGTATCATTTGACATGCCCTTCAGAATGTTTTATCCCAACGAAGAAAGTACACCAACAATTAAAAGTTGCTGTCGATTAACATTCGACATTTGAGCAACAAATATTTCTGGCAATCGTTCATTGCACTTCATTTCTGAAAGTGATTTATTATATCTTTTCACATGCGCTTTAATTACGTCGAGACCACAACCCTTACCACTGATTGTATGTTAACAAACGATTAAAATATGGTCGGCAGCAGTGTCGAGATAAAACAGAAATCCTCATCAGAGTTTCATTCGAAGTTCAAACATTCAAGTACACTAGGCTTACCATAATAGCATTTTCGACAGTTTTAATTAAGGAAGGGAAACAAATCTTCTTTTTCTCGCGGATACTAGTCAGTTTAAAGTGATCGCTGCCACTAACATTCAAATTTTGGGCTTGTTGTTGTAGCTGTTGCTGTTGTAGTGCTGACGTGACAACGTCGCTTTCTTCAAGCTTTTGCTTCAAATCTTCCCCTTCGCTATCGAACATCGTCACACGACGAGTCATATCGAATATAGCAGTCATTATTCTCCCCTGACTGTATTCGAAACACTATTGCTATTATCACTGCTTTATTCAACAATCAGCCAGCCAGTCATCTGAACAGTTGAAGCCACCAATTTCGAGCGAGTCTTTCACGAATTGAGTTGTTACAGTCGATAGCCGATTGATCAAAAACTCAGTCGGCAAGCGAACGAAGTGTTAAAATTAGTGGAGAATTAACTTCACTTTCGGCTTCTCACTCAAGCGAACATGTTCATGTGTGTATGTGCATATATTCGATGGCATTCAAGTAAGTCTCTACGAGCGAAATTGTTGTTATTTTGAGTCTGCAAATAAAATTGTTTCTATCTTCAAAAGACAAGCAAGTATGCGATTGAATAGCAGAAACATTAGCAAAAAACCATGTTCACTGTGAATCAAGATGAATTAGCGAGTTGATCGCCGACACAATGGAATAATCATATTTGCTTATATCACAATGATTCAAAGGCGATGACTTCATGGATCTTTCAAAAAATGGGTATATATTCTTGGTTCCTTATTACTGCTATTCTATTACTACCATCCTCTGCTACCCTATCCTATTTTTATTCAGCCACCAATATGATACCATGGTATTAGGTAGTAAAACAAATGAATGGGAATTTGGTTGAAACAGAAATTCGAACGAAACCATTGTAATAGCTGTACCGAGAGTGACAAACGATGATTGTGCGTATAAACGATGTAGCTGGAAATGATAAGGAAAAGTAAACTCGTGCTTGAATGGATAGAAAAGTTGTCGATAAATTGCCACTAATAAATGACCGATGAACGTTTGAGAATATGATAACAATAATGATGGTAGTAATAAAAGGATAAATCTTATTGAATGGGTGGTGTAGAGTAGAACTGTTTGTTGGTATAATAAAACCAAAAGAAATATAGAAAGAAGAAGCCCAAAACAATCAATCGCCTTAGATATGCTAATGAAGTTGCAACTCATAATTACATCGACGGCAGTGCAATAATGAGAATTTAGCAAACGAGTTAAAACAAATACGCTGGCACCACTCGCTGGTGGCGACTATCGTTTAGTTAAGCAGGTATGTTGTGTTCATCAATTTTGTTCAAAGCATTACAACAAAGTAGTAAGAAGTTATTATTATTGTTGTTGTTGAATGAGGCAATGATGAAGCTGAGAGAGTAGTTAAGATGATATAATCGAATGTAATATATGATAAGATAAGAGATGAGAAACGAGCTAGACAGATGGATCGAAATTGTTGCCAGTTAGGTGAATCTGCTGTTGTTTGTGTGCCAGCTGTTATTTGAGCTATTTTCAAAGTAAGTATTACATATCAGAGTCTCGATTAGCCGGTGGATTAACTGTGCTTTCATCGATCGACTATTGATTATCTACTTTAAGATGAGCTGAGATGATCGACCATAAGCCTAAAAGGTGGTCGTATCGTCCGAAAATTTTCATAAATTAGCAACTATAAAACAAGACGGTTTTATCAACAACCGCAATAATGAAATTAACGCGATTAATTCGCAATCTCAACTCCTTGTCGTATTCAAAACATGCTTTGAGTCGTGGTCACCAAGACTGAGTGAACGCGGAATATTGATCGCCACCGACTCTGCATTTGTTGTAAACTGTAAGAGGTTGGTCGGTCGGTGGCCACCAAAATTTGATCATTGTTAAGAATTCGGCATTGCGATGACCACTCGAAATCGATGGTCGCTGAATGTCGGTCTGTAGACAACCAAACAACTAGCCAACAGCACTGTAGGCGAGTAATGCGGATGCAGACAGACAAAATAATTGATGAAGACACCTGTTATCGTCAGTCGAACGACTTCTTCAATGAATAGTTAATCAGATACAGAATGTGAAAATTTATGAAAGACAATCCAAAAATATGATTTCAATTAGACGAAATCGTCATGTAGCAGTGTTTGATGTCATTTCAAAATGTTGTTTGAACCTAGAGTGGCGGCCTTTATAAGCGATCCAAAAATCTGTCTGTTTCGTTCATTTTTGACCTACTTACTGATTCATTTACTAATTAATTCATTATTATTCTATTTGTGCATTGTTCTTGCATTCGTTATAAATCGCATTTATTAGGCAAGATCATTCATTAATCAGACGCTATGGTGCAGCCGATTAGCTGCTAGCCATCCCAGCAGCTATCACTTGTTCGTGGCACACATACATTTTAGTGAGGCGCAAAACGAAACTGTTCGAGATTTGAATGAAAAGAAAATTAGGCAGCACATCGAATTTTACTCCAATCGGAGATTTCGACTTCAAAGTACGTACTGAGCTTTGTTGAAAAACAGTCAAAGTAAACAAAACGTATGATATAATAGATAGGAAGATAGATATCTTTCTAACCATATTAAGTGCTCGGTAGAGAGTTGTTTTTTATTGGTTCACTGTCGCGTTTATTGGTTAGTTTAAGTCCTCGTCACTTTTTTCCACTTCTTCGACTTCACGATAAGTTTATTAATGAATTGGAAAATTCAAAAAATGTTGACACAGCAAAGATGACATTCGTTTAGCACAATCCGTAGATATTATAACAACGTACGGGATGGTTAGTTACAGTTGAAAATAGTTGAGCTTAGTGCGATCACAAGTGTTTTGATTGATTGATTGACTGACTGGTCGTTTATTGTTCGTATGTTTGTGTGTGTTTATGTAATGTCAGCCTGAGATTCAAGTCCATCCATCCTTCTTATTTACTCACCCTTCACGTCTTTCTAATGTCCCTCTCGAACCTTTTCGCGATGATGAGTACTGCATCAACTCTTCTCTAGAGCTGTGCTACGCTAACAGCAAATCGAACAGCAAGCCAACATCGACGATGAAATAATGTGTGGCAAATATCTATACATATATAAAAGCAACCAAACCCACACACTACTTGACTTGACTACCCATCTAGTTTTTGCGATGGAACGAACTTGTTGACTAAGTTCAAGAGAGCTGCAGCTGAATAGCAATTGATTGATTTCGGGTCAATCATTGAGAGATTTTTTTGACTCTGAAATGTTTGCACGTTGAAGACGGTGGATGGAAAATTTGAAATCACAGTGGTATTGTAAATTTCTGAAGATATTTCACTTATATCAGGATGTTAGTTACAGTCCACTGAAGGTGATCTATGATGTTCATAACAAACTGCAATGATATGTATTTGCAGAAGCGATGATCAAAGTCAAACTTTGTCCAATCATTAGTTCAGTTCTTCGTGAAAAATTTTTTAAAGTATTTGATTGCCAGGACAAAAAAAGGAAGCAATTTGAAGAATCTTAAAACAAGTAATGTTCCTTGTTTTGACGAAACAAGTATATTAACACTTACCATTGTGGTGAATTTTGCAAGAAGTTCATTCATTGAAGTGTTTCTTGCATAAAACAAACTGAACTGATGCACATGACGTTAACATCAACAGTAGCAGCAGTAACAACAGCAACAACAATGACAGCAAAACAACAACAACACAAAATATGAAGAAGTGAGCAGATGTGGTGGGTGATCGAAGCGATAGTAAGTGAATTGAATGAATGGTATCGAACAAGCTAGCGAGGACAGGAATAGAATGAAGATGAGTTAAAGACGAAAAAATTCAATGGTATTAAAAAATCTGCAGCCAACAATTAAACGATTCGCTCCGATATAATAATATACTGTGAAGAAAACGCTGAACTCTTGCATTTGTTCTTGTTATGATGCCATTTAGCGTAATCAGTTCATTGCACGAAAAATATCAATAATTATCACGGTTCGTTGGATGCTTCTGCCGAAATGATGATTCGACCCTCATGATGCTAACAAACAATATCGATCCTAATCGATCAGCTCATATAACTATAACTTAATCAACTCACCGGCATTCGGGCGATTACAAGAGCCAAATTGATACGTCCCATTGCTTTCATCTTCGTCAACACACGCGACTTCTTCTTGCGCCATTCTTCTGTTTCACGAAAATGCTTTTTCCTCGGCATTACGTCCCAGAAACGCTCAGGTGCATCAGCAGAATTCCGCTACAAAACTGACACGACTTCATTCGAAGAATTGAACTGTGTCGGTTATTTTTCATCACGCAGTAATGATTTGAATGTGCAAAAACTGAATTTGCATATAATTAAAATGATGTTGATGTGATTTCCCTTCGTAAGACTATAACAACGTTGACTGCCAAATGGCAACCGAAATCATACATGCTCATTGAGTGGCGTCAGTTCACCATTGATTAAACCAATCCGTTTGATAATTGAACTGTTCGAATTACTGTCATTGTCATTGTTGAGCAGTTGATCGTGCGAATCTCTATGCTTCTAAATAACGATACTTCATCATTAAGCTGACGACGATGAGAGCGTCATCTAACCGCAGTCAATCATCGAGAATCAAAGTCTGATGATGCATTCGGATGCGATCTGATAAAAAGCCTTCGACGAAACGGCAACGAAAAGTCATCTGAGCATTACGCTGAAGATCTATCTATCTGGCCTGAGCAGTGCTACTTCACTTACTTTTCTGTTGAGGATTAGCATGATTGTTTGTTATCCATATGACGCTTTCACAGAACTCATAAAAAGTCTTATAGTTGAACACCGCTGATGGTAGTGACTGATTGTGGACTTGATTAGCAATTAAACGCTATGTTGTTCACAAATTGAAGAAGGAGAGATGAGTTCAAGAATGAAATCAGTTGATACACGCTTCATTAAATGATGATGCAAAGCGAGAATGGAATGGTCACCTCAAAAAAGTTGGCATTTATTTATTCGTATTCGCGATTGGTCAAAAAGAATGAATACAAAGGCGATCGATCAGTTCAAGAAGTACCATTCATCACTGCGGCTTATATGAATCAATTCTCGAAATCAACTGTGTGTATGCATAAAATATTACTTCACCTCATAATTGCCAATACTTCATTAATTAACGATCAGCGATTAATACGATAACATGTAAAGCAAAAAAAAAACAGGCAAAAGAATCCAACATGTTTGTCAATTGCCCATCTTAAGCAGTAATCAGCCAGTTTACGAACACCACTAATCCTTGTTTAATTTCAGTTACAATGATAAATATGATGATGATAATTTGAAAGAAAATTATATTCCCATATGGTCGAACTGGGGCATCATCAAGTCTAGATCATCAGAAAGGAAGACAATTGTGGTTGTAGGTCGAACAAGCAACATTAGTTGATGCTGTGTTTTACAGGATAAACGTTATCATTCTAACAACGGCTGTTGTTTGCTTGACAGGTCGTTCGATAATTACCTGACTGACGTATTGAAAAATGTTATGTTATTCTCCTACAGAAAGAACATCATGTAGCAACCACATCATCCATCCTCAACAACCTTATTATTTTTATCATTAACATTAATGTTACTGTTATTATTATTATTACATTCAATATTATCGGTAATAGTGATATATACAGTGATAAGTAGCACGGTCAAACTTTGGCTTTAATTGGCAATTTTCTGAGCAGGCAAGGAGAGGCAAGCGGTGATCTCTTTTGGCTCATATTCGGTTGAAGAAAAAAAACCATCGTAAACAGTTGGACAGTACAGTGTAACAAAATTGCACTGAATCAACCGTTCGTTTACACAATTGCATAACAAATAATTATTAAGCGATTTTGACAACATCAATGAAGCATTACAAATACTGTGTGAAAATCGCTCAGATATCATCGATTGAATGCAAAATCATCAAGTACTCATTGCCTTATCACCACTACTTCATATGAAAATGATAAATGAGTTAAACGAAAACGATAAATGTATGGTCGATCAAGCATGTTGAGTGATGAAAAGAGCAGCCAAGGAAACCTAAAAATGAAAGATTTATGACGGGGTTTTGTTCAGTCAGTTAAGTTATGTTTGGAACCAACCTAGATCGGTCATTTTGAGAAAGCGATATACAAGAAGGAATTTCGAAGGAACAGTTGGCTCGTATGTTGTGAATGTGTGATAAATAACTTGTGCTGTGATATTTACAAAGTTCAAGCGATGATCATATTACGAACGATTACGTTGTAAACCTGAGATTTTATCACATTTTATAGCTTCATTTTTTCTTTCTTTGCCTTTAACACTCAGCTTTGATATATTATGATCGACCGACCGCAAGCTGAAAGAACTAATGAAAGGAAACGTTATTAAATGGAACGTGATGATATCTGTGTTTTTTGTGGACAAGCTGTTATTCGAAATGTACTTCTTCAGTTGCTCATCTATAATAGTTTGATGATAGCTAAAAGAAACGAAACTTTCAGCTCATAAGAGTCTATCTTTTCTTGATCAATGTCATAGACCTAAATCGATAGGTGTCGTATGGATATTTGAAGATTTGACTTCAGCGCATTAAGATCCATATTTGCTGAAGATCGCAACGAATGAGTGTTTTATTCAATCAAAAAGTTGTGCAGAATAGAGTTGGGAACTGAAATGTTTTTTTTCGACGGCCACCGACCGAAATTCGATAACAACCGTCCCAACTGAAGTGCAGAATGACTGAATTACACATTCAGTTTCTTCACGTCAATATTGGGAGGGGATCCTCCGTAAGGACTAGGGTAGGAACCGTAACCATCTCTGACGAATCATCTCCCTAGCAGGTGCTGTCTTCGTGGTGCATCCGCAGGAGAAATTTACTTCACATGTTTTAGTGATTGAATATCACTTCACATTTGGAAATCACCATAATTAAATGACTATTCAGCTAGGTCATACCCTCAATGAGCATGTACGATTGATAAATATCGACGCTGTTGAAGGAAATTGCTTAGCAAAATAACTCCGCTTCCTTCATTCGTGTATTTGATATGCGATTTGCTGATCATAAGCCGTATGACTTATCAAAATCCATATGGTCGCCGTCTATCCATTCTATCAAACTAATAGTTCTAATTCTGAATCACAAAATGAAACAACGAAAAGAAGGAATTTTAAAAATAAAGGAAAAATAAATGTAGTCACCTTATCGTTTAGTGAATTCGAAAACAGCTGAGTAGCAAATAAGCAAGCTGGTGACTGATTTTTAACAAATTTCGCGATGACGAACAGTTACAGTGATCAATGACAGTATAGTCAGTCACTTAACTATTGTCAATCAAAATTTAACTGATCTGGTTTGAGTGATTCGCCAAAAGTCACAGTAGCAGTTGACATTCCAGTTATCACATTTAAGAGCAATCGATTCAGGAGCAGCGTTATCCAATGATGATTACAATAAAAAGGGAATGATCAGTTGCTTGTACATTAAGCTTTATTGCTGAAATAATGGCTGTTGTTTCGTTTCGTTTTGCATTTCATAACTCTTAATTATGGTTGCTTTTGATTGATGCATTATCATTCTTGAATGCTTGTTTATGTATTCAATTTTAATACTTTTTGTGCTTCATTTCTACTTCATTTATTCAGGCAATAAAGTTTCTCCTCATTTTGACATCATACTCGAGGAAAGTCAATGAAGCGAATCTAAGCAAATGCACAGGAAACATTCATTCACTCATGACCTCTTTCTCATCTCTTATTCGTTTGACTCATTTTTGTTGTATTGTTTTAAGAATAATCATTAAGTAGCTGATAATTTGATCTTTCAAACATTAGTCAGTGTTTTTGATACATTGAAGAGCAGTACGTTTGACAAAATCTGTGAAGATACTACGACTTCGGTTGACGTTCAGAGGGGTTGAGTATCATTTATGTTGCCTATTGGGACTGCATGAAAACCTATTGTTTCGTTTATGCCTCAACATTTCAATATATTCGATCAGGAGTCAACCGTTAGACGATAGCACTATTCGGAAGAAGAACAAACAAGAATAGTAATTGAGTAGAATGAACAGATGCGTGTTGGGGATAGATAATGAATGTAACATATGCACAACTTCAACAATAGGTCATTACCATCTCGATCGTGAATCAATTATACATCTCTCCATGCATTCATGATCTATTCTGCTAGCTTTACATCTTTTGTTTCTCTGAAATTACACAAAAATGATATTTGCACATTGCTAAACATCATCTAATTGGTTTCCTGCATTCAGTTTTTCTTTTTTTCACTTGAAACCAGCAAGATCATTTATGAAGGTTGAAATTTTTTCATTATAACTGATATTTCAAATACAATTCCTCATTACAACTAATGCAACTAAGATTTCAAAAAGTGATGATATAATGCCTACGGTTCAGTACTTACATAATGAAGTAATAATGATGATTTGATAGGTGATTCATTTAATCAAAACAATGCAAAAAGCCGTCATTTGATAGGTTTTCAGAGAATGGTTGATTGGTGACGAATGATGAATTCAGGATTGTTCATTTATGTGAATGTGAAAGAGAAGAGAGTGCGCTCGATCGACACGACAACAAATCACATTCACGTTAGTGGTTGGTCAGTAATTAAGCTATTGGTCACAAGCTGATGACTATCATCAAAGCGCTTTTTTGATTCGACGTCGTTCTGTTGTGCTGCTTTGCCGGTTGATGCTTCTCGTCTCAGTTCCGTAAAGCAATGAATGCGATTCGTTGAGATCTTATCATACCATATCGGTCGTCTGTATGCAACTGCTACTCCTTCTTCATTGACTCAAACAAAATCAGCACTTTTCTATCGTAGACGAAGAACGAGGAACAGGGAAAGAGAAGAAGAAGAGAATAATAACAACAAGAAGACAGGGAGGAAGGAAAGAAAAGAATAATGAGAAAGATAGGTTCATGAAGAGGGGGCGGTCGGCTTCATAAACGTTCATCCATGCATCATCCATTTGTTCGTTCGTTCATCGTCCAATATCTAAGTTGTCATCCACTTTTGTGGTTAGACTGCTAACTGACTGCAACAAGTTGGAATTGGTCATTGGTGCTGTAAGGGTTACAAGCTCAACTAAGGAGCATTCTCAAATCGTGGCCAGATAGCTATCCATCTAGCTGTCGAGTGCGATTCATATGGATGAGGCATCGCACGACCGTGATTACGAAGCAGTCGATGATGGAGATGTGGATCATAAGATGATCATTGACAATGAATGCAGCCTAAATGTTCAGCAGTCAACTGCTCTTACTGATAATGCAAATAGCGACAAAAACAACACTCGTCACCAGTTAATGAATCATTCAATATCGTATCACAGTAATCATTCAACGCCGTCGCTACGATTCGCCGCTATCAGCAGCATCTCGTCACCAACTTCTTCTTCAGTCAATCGTCCACGACCAAAACGTTCGCAGAGTGCTTCGGCTACGGCACAACGACAACGCCAGGTTGACTCAATTACTTCAAAATTGCCATATGCATCCAATTGAAACTTTGTTTCTACTGCTGTAGATGAATATGAAGAAGACGATTAGCGCAATAAATATTTTGGTGTATTTTTTGATGCGAGTGTTTATCTGTTCATATGTACAATATTCATTTTCTTTACAGTCATTTGTTTCATTTAGGGACCGTTTTACAAAGTTCCATCTCTCAACAGTAGAATAACAATGATGATAATGCTTCTGATCAGTAACCGTTCTGTTTATTGCCTTGTTCAGTTGAGATCAATCAGTATTTCTCGCTTGTCTCCAAGTGAACATGTAGCTAGTTATCTCGAATTCGTTGAAGACAAAACGTGCGATGAGAAAGGGTAGAGATGATTTACGACTGACTATCTTTGCTTAATTAAGAGCAATCGATCGCATGAACCAACAATAGCAGCATCAACAACAACAACAACAATAGATTATTGAAGTCTTCGAATGCATGTGATACAATATGAATATGCTCTATAATAGGTTACTATGCAAAATCTTCTAAATCTACAAGTCTATCCAGATATTCATGTGTATGCATATGCTTATGTAAATTATATTGTTCCGACTAATAGTGGATAACTAACGCATACTTGTTTTATTTTTCCTATCACACTTCTTTCCTTCAACTAGCCTTAAAAGAAAAATCGATGTATGTCCTCAATATGGTTGTATTATGCGCTTTATGAAGCTCAAAGCACGCATTTACACATACACTCACTTGCATAAAGACAGACACTTAATCCATCAATCAAACGGTCAAGCAAGCAAGCAGTCTTAAAGTTTATGCTGCTATAGTTCATGGAATGAAATCAACTACGTCAGTTTCTGTTAGTTGCATTTGCGTCATTCATTTTATTTGAGAGTCATGTTGCCGTATCGAATAGAGGAGAGAACGATGATGAATTCGAACGACGTGCTATGGCTGAAGCAGCGTTCAACGAATGGCTTCGAAGAAAGAGCAGTCTTCCAAGAGGTGAGCGTCAACAACCGTTTGTACTTGTTCAAACTTGTATGGAATTGATCCGTTCGAGAAGGGAATCAGAGTGGAAGTGAAGTCTTCAACCGGATGTAGTTGACATAATCACATAGCGTTCATCGAACAATGAATGTTCCATTCAAATATTACACATCTATATAACATATAAGTACACGTTCGATGTTAATCGTGCAGGTCCAAGATGCTCACCGTCGCGCGATCAAATCGAACAACATCTGCGTGAGGATGCACGTCATCGAGTGCTGAATATTTGGTTAGCAAGACCGCCACCACCACCACAATCAGCAGCAGCAGCAGCAACAACTACTATCAATTGTCACAATGATGAATAAGTGAATGAGTGAATAATGTAAGCATCGATAATACTGACCAAACAAACTTTATTTTAAGTATTATTTAATCGAGAATACTGACCAAACTAACTTTATTCTGACAATGAGTATTATTCTTTAAAATATTGTTATTACTGTTATGAATTAACAATGTCATCATGGGTTTCACTTCTTTATATTTTGTCTTTCTTTAGGTCCTTTATTTGTTTTGTTAAATAAGTTTACTTGTTCCATTGTTTCGTCTACCGATGCTTTTATGTTGAAGATCAGCCAAACTCACATCAGTAGTGTTACTGGCTAAGATGTGATTGATTCATGATAAGTTTGTGACATATAAGTCATTTCTTGAAAAGTGCATGCCTGACAATCGATACGACCATTCTTGGCGGCTGTGATGTCAGTGGGAGATGGAAATTCGAGCGACTTTCGAATGAATGAAAACCTTTTGATGACTAAAACTGTTTGCTTTTCAAATCACATTCGAGGAGAAAGTAATTGAATGCAACTGATTGTTTTCGAATTAATCATTACGCATTGTCGTCCATGCGTTTATGTTGTCTGCGGCAAATAGCATCAAATTATTGACGTGATTATCGTCATCTTAGGCGTCGTTCCAATTCGTCGTGCAGCAGTCACCTTAAATATAAACAATAATGATTAAGCACAACATCTATTCTTTGTTTTGTGCTCAATAATCAAAATACAATTCGGAACAAAACACTTTTCGTTGTGGTCGTCGTCCTTATAAAATGCTAAACAACGTATACCGTGCAGGATATGTTGTATACATACTTAAATTGAAGGCGGAAAGAGAAAGTAGGCGGCAAGCATTGAATTCAACAACATCTCGTTTTGTGTCCCTCTAATTGTTTCTGTTAAGTCTTCACTTTTTCAAAAAGTTTCAAGTGTTTTTCAAAATTTTCAGCTTGTAATTATTTTGTTCGGTTCAATATCATCCCACGTAAGTTTGTTATACTGGTACAAACATTATTGCAACAGAACAACCAAACAAGAGATGAATTCGGGATATTTGAACGAATAAGCAAACAAATAAATCAACAAATGAATCATTACAATCTTCGTTGTAGTAAATTTATCACTGTGATCATGATTTGATGCAGATTCCCTTAAGAGGATTACATGTGCCCTTATCTTTCGGTCATTCGATCAGCCGAATGACAATATCAAACAATCCTTCCCTCTGTCATCGCAGACTTTAATGAAATGATAAGAACAACGATGAGCCTGAGCCTGACGAACTATATCAGACGGAACAGTGTTCTTCCTACAATACTCCAAAAGAAGCAAAAAATGGACTCCATTGAGGAGTTGTATTATACCAATTTTTGTTCTTGTTAATGTTATTATCATTATTTTTAATAATAATAACTCGTATATGATAATATAAGAATAAAGTATGAAGGAATGTTGTGATCAATCAAAAACAATTCGTATACACCACAATATGGCAGCAGCGAATGAAGTAAGTTGATGGATGATGGAATGAGGGATTGATTTTTTGTTGGGATTAACGACGTCGGTGAGCATGATGAGATGGTCAATGAAACAATGAGATTTAACCGATCTGCTTAGATGACGAATAAAAAAGACCAGTAATACTGCTTGAAGATGAAGCGATTTCACTGAGTCAACATGCGTTTGACAGTGAACCAAAAGAAAGTAGAACACCAACTTGTGCATTCAGGTGTCTTGGAGAAATTAAGCTTCGAAAACGAAGATAAACCACTGGAGGTTACGATTTCGATAACGGTGATACTGATAATCGATCTTGCTGATAAATATCAACTCTCGGCAAAAATTTTTTTGCCTTCAGATTGAAAAAAAACTCGACGAATATTATCAGTTCGGCTGTATTGCTTTCTTAGTCCCTCATTGCTGCCAACTGTGAACAACTAGCCAGCCGATCGTACTTCGGTCAGTTAGCCACCTACCTCCCCGTGCCCCCTCCCNCCCCCCCCCCCCCCCCCCCCCCATACATTCTCATCCCACACGCTTTCATTTCCTCTTCATTAACCACTCATCAGTTTTCACATAAATGTCATTTATACAATCTCCAATGCCCTTCTTATATTCTCAATTTCCTCTAGCATGCGTTTCTTCCCTGAAGCACTTACCAGTCGGCTGCCTTGTTTTTGTTGTTACAACAGGTCTATACCGCACTCCAACGTGCACATTTACCTTTCCCCGTCACTCGTCCTTATCAGGGTCATTCGTCCTTACGCTCTACTTTGTCATCTGCAGCAAACTCCAACTTATGCATTCGTGTCATCCGTTTTCATTCAGCCTAATCCTTCGCTCTCGAATATCTTTCGTAATCGACACTGCAGTTGTTGTTCTATATCAAAGTATTTGGCTCTGTGTGAAACTAATACCCGTTCCCTTCTCTATTTATGCGCTTTTCTTCAACAACTCTCGTCATCCATCAATCGACCATCCAAATTACTGTTCACATATGCATGCATTAACAGCTGATCTATCGCAATTGTACTGCAATTCCGATAGATCAGCTGTCAGTGGCAGCCGGCCAATTTGTCGTTGAATTGTGCAAATCGCAGTCAGACGGACAGCCGGCCAGGCAGGCAATGCGATCGTGCGTTTCGTCTGTGCGTGCGTTGTTCATATCATTGATACATACATAAGAGTGCACCAGAAATACACAAGTGAAATTCTTAACGCGATGAACTGCCATTGGACTCGTGCCTAAGCTGTCAGCTGATAGTGCATTACCGAGCGAAAATTTGCAACGTTAGAATTATTTGTTGTTGTTGTTGTTTTGGTTGTTATTCACACATTGTATAGGGTTTGACAAACTGTATTGAATAGTTGTTATTGTAACGGTCAGGAAGTGACGAAATAAAGCTGTTATTCTACGACGCACACAGAGAACAGACGTTTGTTTTTTTTTTTAAGAGAATACATTCAATAAAATCGCCACAACTACTTCACGCTTGACGTCGTTCATTCCAACACTAGTTCTACAACAAATTTGATCAACCATTTATTTGTTCTTCATCCTATATTCAGACATATTTGTCCTATACACACTCACAGCTGTCAATAATATCAGTGATCAAAACTGTACGACTGCCTCTAATGACGTTGGCGATTAGCGAAAGTATTTCGCTATATTCACATGGCTTCATCGTATCCGAACGTTGAAAAACCTAACCATCTACAGTGAGTTCTTTTCAACAATTTTACATCAGCGAATTATTTATTTCATATTGTGCTCAGTAATAAGTTAGCAATGAAAATAATCATCTTTCATTTAATATTATTGTCAACTCATCCCAAATAAAAGTATTTATGAAATACTTCGGTCTTGTTGCAATTGGATATGTTTTATCCCCAAATAAGCTGCGATTTGAGTGAATCTACACCCAAATTCGTCCCATTTCAATACTTTCTCATTTTAATCCACAAAAAAAGTTGCAAAAAGTGATAGTGGTTCATGAAACCAGCGAAAAAACGTCCTACTTAAACGAGTGATTGGAGAAATCTCCACATGAATATCAGTTAATTACTTTTATGAGTAATTTATGCGTGAACAGTGTTATTTGTAATTTATAACGAAATGAATAATTTGATAAATAAATGAATAAGTTGAAGCAGTTTATGTGTAACTACATTACAAGATTATGATAAGGGTGGGAACAAAATCGAGTAAGGTAATAAGAACTGTGTCAACATTCAAAAGCACGACCATTCGGTAGGCGATTCAGGCACAGACAATGGGTTGAATTAGTTGTTGAAATTAACGATGTTTTGGTGAGCGGTTCAAATGATCTGCTCATACAGAACACTTTTTCAGTTTGATCATCTTATAATAAGAAAGAGGGAATGTTTGCGATCAAACTGAAGTGTTGGCAGTAAAGGAAAGACGTTATTGTAGCGTTGACAATGATCTCTATGGGCAGTTAATCACAGATAAAGATAGTTTGCCTAACAAGAAAACATCGATTCATGATAAGATCGAGGAAGGAAAGGCAAAAAATTTTCTTGAAGTGGAAGAAATAATGAAAAAAAACAGTAAAAGCACAATTAATCTGCAATATATGCTCGTTCATTCGATTATCCGATTTTACTTTCGTTGAATGACCAAGAAGCAGTTATCCAATATCGTTCATATTTTTGAAGGGCACTTACAACTGACCATTGTGTTCTGATGGCCGATTCATCAGCGAAAATCTTGTCAAATTATCCGATCTCGTTTGAAATTGCTCTCTATGCAAATCACTGTTCACCGATCTAATTGTGCACCCTCCCTTCAGTCTCAACAACATCGCCTTAGCTAATAATCACTCGAAGAATGAATGAATCGAACGAACAATAATCACAATTTTCACTTATTATCATCACTTAATCTCAGAGAACTGATTGAGTAAGCGTTTATTCGAGCTCTGAGTGCGATTCAGTCCGGTCAGATCCGTTTCCTAGCGATTCCATAGCTTATTTGCAGTTATCTACGAGAATTTCGCGTTGAAGCATGCGCACAATTCAAGCAACACCAGTGCCAACAGCATCGACCCTATACGTGCTTCAACTGGCATTTTGCAAACCAACGTCGTCGACGACCTTTGCGACGATCTGACGGAACATTCAACTACTCGGCAGATATCTATTGTGAAAAATACGACGAAAATACGGGAATATGTCCAGATGGTGATAGGTTCGTCCACTCATACAGTTAATTGATGCACACTGATCCAGTCTTGCTGGAAAGTAGAAGTGATGTGGTGATGATGACTATGATAATAATAATAATAGTGATATGATGATAAGAGGACTTGTTGTGCAGATGTCATATAAATACTCCTCAAGTCACCGCTCAACACATGTAAATCTTTTCAAGGCAACTTAAATCGATTGTAAGAATGAAGGGCATATTTTGATGTATTTTAACGGTTGTTTTGCCAGTGAACTAATAATTTGACGAACATTAAAACAAGAAACAGATATAAGTTGCAGTTGTGCATTCTTGCACCGAGTTGCGGGTGATGTCGAACGTAAATATCATCTGCGTTATTATAAGACGGCGTTGTGCGTGCATTCAACAGATGCTCGTGGAATCTGCACAAAGAATGGTGCACATTGTGCATTTGCACATAGCGCACAAGATTTGAGACAGCCGTTGTACGATGCGCAAGAGGTGCAGAACGGGTCATTGCTGGATCCGGAGAATCGTGATCGAACCAGTTTCGTGGTTGAGGATCCTCAGTGGCATGGTTCGTTCCTTTGATTACTGATCTTATCTCCTTTCTTTGAACCGATTGAATTGGTCCCTTTTAGTCCATTCAGCAGAATGCAATTCGAGAACAGTATGGGTTAGAATAGTTGATCAATAGTGTTTAATTATGATACTAAATAGATTTTCCGGAAAAGTAGCAGTAATAATAGTAGTAGTAATAATAGTAATGACGACAATAATGTCATGTATCGAGTACACCAAAAAAAATTCCCACAGAAACAATGCATTTCTAATGAAGCGATGAATATGTGCATACGTGTATGTATAATTGAATGATTGAAGTATTCCTAGAGAATTCATTAAGATAATTGTTATTCGCTGTTGTTTTGATACTTTTCTCATTTTAGAACATTATGCATAAACGTATTTGATTATCATTCATTTCCCATGCACTCAATCATGAATTATATTCTATTGTTCCATAGCGATCAGAAATCTACTCGTAATCGCAAATATTACCACATATTACTGTTATCACTATTGTTCTTATTATTGTTATAGCAGATGCGATGTTAGTAAGCAACGGATTTTGAAGAATGATTTTATAGCTAAGAAAAATTAGAAAACAGGTGTGAAGAAATGATGAAGAAGATGAATCGCTTAGTTCGTAAACATTCAAAGGATTCTCTCAGTGACGATTGATCACCTACATCATAATACTGGCTCATACTAGAGATAGATGAATAGTGATTGATGAATAATTTACTGTTGAGACATGTGGTAGTAACGGAGATAATTAATTGAACATTTTCGATAAAGCATTGATCGAATTTCGGTATTTCTGAGGTTCTAGGCCAAACAAATTTCCAAAGTTCTAGCGCGTATCAGAAGAATATGCATGTTCATCTAGAAAAAATTTGTGGTGTGAAATTTCTTTCAAAAAGATATTAGTTTGAAGGATAGCTGAGGTCATTTATTTTTCATCTGAGGTACCATAGTGCGCGATTTTCACAGATTTCTTAAATTTTCTATATGTCGCCCTTCAAAAAGATGCCCCTCGATTAAAGGTTAATCTTGGAATTTTGCTTGATTCAACTATTTTATGGCCTAAGAGGCGCACATAAGTGCACTTGGCAGATGACACAACCTTTCAACTCAATTGTTTCTGGTGAACTTTCGCAGAGAGAGATTGTTTCCAATCAGAAAGACGCGACTTTGGAGGCTCAAACACCATGAAGAAAATTCCGAAGGTCTCAGTTTATGCATCGCATCGTAGTGCTTATTACCAAAAAAAACTCGACCAAGCAGCTTTTCAAACAATTTTTCTCGAAGTAGTATTTTTCTGCTTTTTTTGAGTTTCATTTATGCATACAATTTTAGTCAACCCGGTGTGTATTTATCTAAAGCAACGACAATAATTTTCACTGAGCATTGTCACAAAAGTTGAGATGGACGAAGTATGCTTGATCACAAATCACAAAATAATAAAGAATCAATCCTAATGAATAGTTGGTTATGTACAATAGTGCGCTATTCGCTATTCGGCCACAAGCTGGGCTACCTTTTGTCGATGGTTATCTGTTATTGTAACTATCGAGTCACATCAGTATTATTCGTTCGTTACTCTGTACAGAAATTTTATTGTTGTTACAGCAAAGGCGATGTTAGTAGACGACAGATTTTAGAGGATGATTTGACCGTCGTATATTCTTCGTCGGTAACGAAGAAATCTTTTCTGTGTTGTTGTTGGAAGAAAATTGAGTTTAGTAGCTTGATTAAGAGTTGTCAGTTCATTTATTCGATTTGTTTCGTGTATAAGTTAACCTCATTGAGTCCAGATTCAGTTCAGTTTAACAGAAAGAAGAGAGGGTTGTTCTTCTCCGTCGGCAACGAATTAATTGTCCAATGGTAGAGTTGCGGCCATTTTCACTGATCTGTATCGTTGGCGAACAAGCATCTTAACTGCATCTTCTCGTTTATTTCGAATCAATTTTCGACAAAGCATTCATTCCCTGCATCTCTATGATATTCAATGACTGAATTATATCTTTTCCTCAACTGTTTTAAAGTTGTTCCATTTGCAGATCAAGTTCATGTGCTGTCGTGCTACAAAACTGAGCAGTGTCGCAAGCCGGCGCGTCTCTGCCGACAGGGCTATGCGTGTCCATTCTATCATAACTCGAAAGATCGTAGGCGTCCTCCAGCACTCTATAAATATAGGTAGGTGTTCAATGATTCCTTCATTTATTGTTTATTTAATCATATTTTTCAAAACGATATTTGCAGTCTTATGAATGATTGCCTGTTTCTTTAAATTTGTTTTTGTGTTGTGTGCTTTTGAATCGTTCGTAGTGAAAGGTTTTCCGAAACAAACCTTTCACTAGGAACGATTTCGGATTTCAACGAGTTTTAACGTTCGCTAAAAGTTGAATCGTTCAGGTCTACACCATGTCCAGCTGCAAAATCGGTTGATGAATGGTTGGAACCGGAGCAGTGTGAGCAAGGTGATGAGTGCGGGTACTGTCATACTAGAACCGAGCAACAGTTCCATCCGGAAATCTATAAGTCGACGAAATGTAACGATATGCTAGAACATGGTTATTGTCCTCGGGCTGTATTCTGTGCGTTCGCACATCATGATTCAGAGTTGCACGTTCAAAGGATACCATATCATCGAGCTAGCAGTGATACAGTCGCCACCACCAAATCAACCCCAATACCACTTAGGAAATCGAGTACAGCTGATTCAAACACATCGCTTGGCTCTCGTGGAGGTTTGTTCCTTATTGTTTGTAATATTATTGCGACTCAATTTATGTCATAAAATGTTTCATTAAAAATGGAGTAAATCATGAAAACTCTCAAAAAAACGAATAATGATGAGTAGTCATCCGATAAAAATTCAAATGTTTATTTGTTGTTGTTATTCTTTCAGAAGCACTTCAATCACCAGTTGTATCGTCGATAGGAACAACTCCAACGTATTCGGTAAGAATTATATTTCAGCTTGAGAAACATCACAATTTTTTGGTGATTGTCAGTCGTTAAAGTGTTCATCTTGTAGTTGACGGTATGTGAGTCGATTCAATCGCAAAATGAGCATGCTTTTATGGTGGCATTATTTTTGATTTTATGTGCAGACGTGAATTAAGGTTGACTCCTCTGCCCATCAATTTTGAAGGCAAAGGTTCATCTCGAAAAAGTTTAGAAATTTTAGACGTGAAACTTTTCAGTTGGAAGATATACATACTCATTACGATAGTGTACACGGAGAGTTGGATTGGCTCATTTAATTGCTGTTGTTATATGTTCAGGCAGTTTTGAAGAATCGTCAAGCAATCTCCAAAAGTACGCCATCATCGAACAGTGTTGACGAAAGCGTTCTTCCATCAAGCACCACTAGCACCTATTCAAAAGCACCCGGTTATGAACGGATACAAATTTCAGTAGGTTATTTCATTGGTTCCTTATTTACGTTCGCCTTCTCGTCACTTTCACATCACAATATTCAGTTCTTAATAAATTCAGTCATTCGTCGTCCGTTTACTTTAGACGTTTCATTTAGCCTCAACGTGTTCCTGAGTCGGCAATTGGTCGTATTCGTACGTCTTCATTGAATATGGGACAACTGGATTTGGGTTTGTTTTTGGGTTCATTTGTTGAGTTTGGTTCATATTTTGGTACATTGTTTGACCTGAATTGAATATAGTTGTTTGTTATTTCATGTTTGAGTTATTCATTTGAGTGTTGTTTTGTTGATTCATTCAAATGTTAATTGGAAAAAAGAATTCACAACACAACCAGTCATAAGTTGATGTGGGTTTGGATCGGTTCAGTTTGCATCGGCACATAGTTTGAATTGTGATTGTAGCGATTCGGCCTGATTTTGAGTAGGAAATTGTTGGGTGAACTCACAGAAATAACTTTGTTTTAGTGATTGCTGTTGAGCTGTTCAAGTTTTGTTTTGTTGTTGCAAATAAAAGAATTCGGGAATGATTTGGAAATGAATATTCCTCCTTTTATTGTTTGTTTTATCTTTGTTTTTGCCGTTATATTTTTGATGGTATAAAATGTCAATTCAGGTTTTTCGTTGAGTGGTGAAAGTCTCGTTTCATCGTTACCAACGTATTCGGCGTTGAGCACAATGACAAGTCGAAATGCGGCAGCAGTGGCTGCTGCTTCAACGGTGTCAGATACAAGCGCAACGCAGATTTCTTCCTCAATACGTGCTGCCCTACCATCGGCTATCGACGAGCTGTCGTTGGACGAACTTTCATCATCGGCTGCGTTGTCGCCAATCACCGAACACAAAGAGCATAAACTACTCTCTGATCTGTTCTCAAATACAAGTCAGTTTGTGGATTCATTTCCTCATCTGCGTATTCATTATTCACCTGATCAACAATCACACTCAGACTTAGGTGGCAGTATCATATTTACCACTATTATTTTATATGCTCTTTTACATGTGGTTCTCGATCATGGGACCTTTTGACATTGTTTCTAAACGTGGATCGATGCTTGCGTTTGTTTATTGATTATCTTAGAAGTGGTATGGATATACATATATAATGATGATGTAGGTATAAGAGCTTAGTGAAATTGACACAGTTCTAGCAATATCATCGTCATCCTCTCCGATGCAAATTCCCGAGTGTGGCTCACCGTTTGGTTCATCGCCATTAACCAGCTTAGGTGAATCGAGCAGTTTGGCGCATCATCATCAGCATCGCAAAAGTGTCACCGAATCACCGCAACCGATGCTTCCACTCAAATCAATGCCAACAACATTTGCCACCTTAATACCAACTGGTCATTCATTGCTCTTTTCATTATTATTGATGTTGTAGTTATTATTATTGTTTCGCTTCAGTTGATGAATATGATTTTGATTGTAGTCACATGTTTAGAAACGTTAACAACAAGCGCATCGTTAACATCAAATGATGTTATTCTGCAACAAATCCCAACAGCAGCAGCAGCCGATTTGATGTCAAGAGAGGAGTTACAACGTGAATTATTGAAAAAAAGTGATGAATTGTTAGCACATCATCAGAAGTTGGCTGCATGGGAAGATGGATTAAAGCAAGCGCGGCAAGCGTGTGAAGCGTGGAAGAAAGATGCTGAATACCATCGACGATTGGCCGAACAAGCTGAAGCTGAAAAAGCGAAAGCTTTCTTTGAAAGAGACCAGGTTTGGAACGGTTCTTTGTTGATTGATTCGAATATCGCTTTTAGTATAAGGTATAATAGAGCATTCTTTACGTTCAATTCACAATATTGAATGCACCTCAAAAGAATGTCAGTTCTATTGAAATCTTGTCGCTTTCACCTTTGATCAAGCGATAAGAGAATTTGGCGAGTTAAAGAGATGATTGACTATCGTTCGCTCCCTTTTCAATTGGAACACTTTGATGAATTTCAATCATATACAAATGATGTGTTGTTTTTGTGTGATAATTTCGGCATTACTATTGCTAGTATTATCATTACTGATCGAACATTATCACTGTAAATAGAGAAAATAGTACAAGATATATACACACTTGATTTGGGAGAAGACAACCAAGAGGAGGAGGAGGACTGTTGATAGTGATGAGATGATACGGGATGTTTCAGTTGAGCAGATATCAAATGAGTGGTAGATATTTGAGTAGGAAAGGAAGAGAGAGAGAGACGTGCGTTGAACAAATAGATGAAATTAATTTCTTCATTTTGTTTCTATATTAAGTAATTGCCATTTTGATGTGCTGCGTACAGTGTTCGTTTCGTGTTGTTGACAATTTTAAATGGAATGCCACAATAAGTACAACATATGTGTGTATAACGCTGGATAATGAGTTCGTTGAATTTGTTATTTATTTCATCAGAAAAAAATGACGGGTTTTTGTGTTGTTGATAGATTTTGTTCGAATTCAAACGTGCACTTTGTTCTTCCGCCACAAAGTAATAGTATGGAAAAAGAAGGTTCACGTGAAATGAGCATAGAATAATGATTCGCATTCATTTTCAATACGTGCCAATTTAAAAATTGTCATTGCTTGCTCTCCATTTTTCAGTAATTTTATTCCACTTGACTACACTGTATTTTGATTGGTCTTCATTGTCGTTATGATTTTTGCGAGCGAAATTTTATGAATGCGAAAAATTGACGACTGAAAATGTTATAGATTACTGGTGTCGTTTGGCTTGAAAAACACTCGTAGAGCGCATAGAAGCCCAGTTTGGATTTAATGAGATTAGTCGAGCAAATGTCAAATGAGTGATGGATATTTGAGTAATAAAATGCATGTTGTTTGTGTATATGTGAATAAGAAATGAAATGCAAAATCACATATGAATTGCATGTTGCTTATGTAATGTGAAGCAGAAAATTTTCAAAATTTCAACATTAGAGTTTATTATTTTCGTTTGTAAGCGATTGGGATTGCAAACATTCTGTTTGAATTTAACTAACTGATTAACTGATAGAAGAAAAACGCATTTGATGAATGGTCGACGGCTCACAGTAGCAGGCAGCATTATCAAATGCTCAAATTGCCGTGTGCCGTTGATGCATCACTGTTTGGTTCACACTCATTTGTTCGAGTCGTTAATGGACATTGAGGGTGCGAATTGAAGCCCAATTAATCTGGCAAAAGAGTATGCATAACGGATCATGAAGCCAATCATAGAACTGTACTGTTTTGTGGTTCATCTTCTAATTTTTTTCTCTCTCTTCAGGCTCTTATGCAGTTGGAATTATTTAAACGTGAGCTCCGCATATCAGCAACCACTACAGCGAATGGTCATGGTCGTGCAAATTCTCCGTTCGATTTAGCACATTTCGCGTCGAGTGGTGCTGGCAGCGGTGCGGGCTCATTTGCAGCGCTTCTACAGGTAATTAATTGTTTTGTTCAGTTGCTATTTGTTGTTTTGGGAATCGATATATATATATGTGTAACTTATTTGCATATTGCTTGCAGTCAGTAAGTCTAGATGTACATTTGCTTTTGAGTGAAATTGCCGTTGTTTGTCAAACGAGGACGATGGTTTGAAATAAAGGACGAGGAACGTAATTAACTTCAACGAAAGCTTTTTTGTTATAATTTAATTAAAACTGATTATGAGAAGGAAGTGTGAATATATTGAATGGATTCGTATACGTTTTTGCGCATGTATTGTTTGAAAGAGGTGAACACACTGATGTGAACTGAATGAGCTCGAATACTGTACCAATATCAAGAACCCAAACGAGGACGGATGAGTTACAAATTTAGGAAACAATTTAGTTATATCACTATCACTTCAATTCCATGCTGTTAATGAGTAATTGAATTTTTTTTTGGTATAATGTCCTAAAAATTTTAAATAAATTATCGGTAGGAATGGAATTGGATTAAAATAGCTATGAAGTAACTCAAAAGTGTGTTAATTATCTCCATTAAAGTGAGAATAGCCGGCTCTAACAAGTTAATTAGATGAAAGCAGCGGTAGCGACAGCAACTTCTGATTTCCTTCTATGTGATCATAAACCGATAACTAGAAT